ATACTCGTATGTACCTATAAAATTACTAAATCATCCAAAAACATATAATATGTCAAACAGTCCATTGGTTAGATAATGTAATTGACATCACGATACTATTGAGTTTAAAAATTGAAATCTTAAGAAATGTTAACATTTTTCATTTCAGAAACCTTTAAACGTGAATTCTCTGAAGAAATATGCGGTGTACAAAGCTTGAATGGATTACGTTGATCAGATTCCCTCGTAGTCTACTCGCTTCGAAACAAACACGACGAGAGAGAATCTAGCTTTAAACACGCTGAATAAATAACGATCAGCGTCTCTAAAGAAAGTTTCTAAAACTAAAGCAAACTAATTTAGTTTAGTACAATAGGATTATTTCAACAAGTTGTAAATGTTAAATAAGGCTTGTTAGTTGTATATTTATACCAAAGCCGGATACAGATGTTCAGTACTAACTCAACAGTCGAATAGTTCAATTAAAACTATTTATTATAAATAATATTATATTATCTGTGATTAAAACTGTGCGTGTTAAGGCGCGCTGACAACTTTGACGAAACTATTGTGCGATAGTTTAGTCCAAAGTACGTCCGCTATTAAAATTTTGCCTACATTGGAGCTTGTGGATTGTAAGAAATTATTTGAAACCTTTGGTAGATTCAGAAAAAAAAAATGAACCTAGTGTCTCCCGTAGTGTTCTATTAAAGCATTTAAGTAAGATAATGAGATTTAATTCAAATAATCTATTTCCTTAATGTATGAAATAAGCAAGAGACTAATATTAGTAAGTTACAGAAGAGTATTACAAGTGTGTAAAGGTAGCTTAATTAATATTTCGTCCCTATTCTCCTACAACCTAAACTCACCTCACGAGGTAGGTTTCTCTATTACATATTCCGGCAATGAGTAAACGAAACTATGCTCGCAGATTAAACATACGCGACTATAATATATTACTAAACATATCTTATGAATATCGAACTTTTATCCGACTGACAGGAGGTGAGAGTTCTTAACGGGTATGATTTAGTCTTAAAATATTTGAAAACTATTTAGTGATGATTCTTTATCGTTTTTCAAACAATATTTTGTTAATTTTTCCTTACAGATTACAGTGTTTTTAAAAATATATTACACTACCTGTTGCTGGCGACTTTGTGCCCATGAAAAAATAATAAAAGACATATAGCCTATGTTAGTAGTTTTTGTTATGTACATTAAAAAAATACAAATCCTTTCTTCCTCTATTATAAGCATATATTTAATTATTTTAATTCGTATTTGTAAATAAAATCCTTTTACACGTAGGTACGAAATTCTACAACAAATGTTGTACGAACTGAGAGTTATGTTAAGGTGAAACTACTTATGCACGGACTTCAAACACTGCTTTAAATGCAAACAGCACCGTGAAGCTCTGAACTCGCCACTGAATGTAATATTGCAAGCTTCGGGTACGGGTTTAACTGAAATTTAGTTTAGTCCCACCGCTTGTTAGACAGTGCTTTTAAAATTTAAATTTAAATGTGTGAACTGGAAACTAGAGACTGAGATTTGAATTTGTCTTACAATGTTTACAAATTAGGTGAATTTCGTTAAATAATAATCACATGGTGTTTTTGGTTTTGATTTATATAAAATATTTATGTTATATTTCTCGTTAATAATATGTGCAGCGCCTGCTGAAAGTTTTTAGCAAAGTTAAATGATTACAAATTTAATAATCGTGAATAATCAGAAATTTCCGACAAAAAAAACTTTTAAATGGACATTTATTCAGTTTAATCATTATTTTACGTCTAAAATTATGTCGTGGTTGACGTAAATCTACTTATGTTCGTACCACAAATAGTACTTAACATGCAAATTGTAACTACTTTAGTATGCCTCGAGTGAGTATAATTTTGTTAGCATTAGCTATGGAAATTAATTAAAATTTTGTTCGACATTCTCATTCGTTGTATTCGGTTCATTACGCCAGAACACTGTCTAATTTTGATGAGCAAACTATTGTAATAACTAAAACGTAAATAAAAATCATAAAAGATCAGAATGATCTTCATAAATCAATATTATACTAATAATTTTTAATGTTACTATGTACTACTATTGAGTCAATTATATAAATCCCTATTGTTATTTCACTCATACTCTTTAATAAAAAAGAGAGAACAACATGTTAATAGGTCAAAAGTAGCTTAATTTAATGATGCCATCAAGGTCGATCTTAACAATCACTTGAGACGAGAACGTAAGCGCCTGATGATACTTATTAGCCAAAGCGATATTATTTAAATACTTGCCGCTAAAAATGTATTGGCGTACGAAATTGGGCCACTCACGGTAAGAGCTGGGGCGTGCTTATCTGGTGAATTTGGATCTGACTAACGAACTGTGTTGGGTGAACATGGTACAGGTAACTTTAGGTTTTCCTTAATGCACATGTATAGACATCTCCCTCATTCTCTTTGAAAAAAACAAAGACAACAATTATCCTGTTATATTTTTTTATACTATACAGGTGGCATATAAACAGGCGGGCAACATCAAAATTTATTTACAAAAACAAATTATCCCTTTTCACTAAAGTCTACGTTTTCTGTAGTCATATTTTTCTTCATAATAAAAGTAACAAAACCGGGGCTTTGTTGAGCTTTTGTGGCTTTCACTTTGAGATAAAATCAATTTCGTATTACCCAGCTGTGTGAAGCAACAGCGCTGCGGCGTGAAAAACTGATACTGAAGTTTTATACGTTAAAATGGATTGTTTAAGAACAATATTACGGATAAAATAGACTCTTGACATTTGTTACCCTCGATCAAAATAATTTTCTTGAAGTTTGTTTGGGCAGGAAATTTACGGAATATATCGTCAGCAGTCACAATTTTTTTTTTCTTTATATTAATAAAGGATGTTATAAAAACGTCAATGAAAAATCAACTTATGTGAACCCAATTTCTAAATTTGAAAATTGATGAAAACCTGAAACTAAACTATCGCACAACTGTTTAGTCTTGCTTTGTATCCTGTGAGCTTTAATGTACACTACTCGATATTTAGTTGTGCAACTAAACAGTTGAATTGGCTGCGAAACAATCGACAATCGTACAACAGTTTAGACTGTTTAGTCAAAGTTGTGTGCTCGCTCTAAACTGAAATTGCACAAGGAACATACTCAGGTCATGGAAATGGACCTATAATTGTCGATCTGGAGACTCGTTCGTGAACGGATATTGACTAATGCGTTTGATGACGGGCCGACAACTGGACAAGAATTCGCCAGTCACAATTTCCATTTTTCAAATTGTTCATAACAAGAATGTAAGGTCATCTGAAGTTTTGATTGCCACTTTTTGCTATGATCTGATTATCACAAAATAATAAGGTATACTTATAACGAAACCTATGCATAGACCTAGAAAGAGATGATGGATTGCGTGAAAGGTGACATGATCATGAAGGGAGTGATGACTGAGATGAAGGATGATACAATGCTTTGGAGGACGAAAACCCGGTGCGCCGACCCTACGGGAGTAGGTGAAGGCAGGGGAGATGATTATGATGCATATTCACACGTATACATTTTTAATTATCTTTATAAAAGAACGTTTTAAATGTTATTAGTTTTGAGATAGATTTCATTCTCATAATACTTTACCTATAAATTTTCTACAGACGTTTATGTCTTTGTAGTTTTCAAGTTAACGGTAGCCTAGATTTTCCGCAACTTTATATAATGGTTTGCTCAGCGGGAAGTTAAAATAAATCATTGCACTCTATAATACCTGTTTTAGAGTTATAAATATGGTAAGACTAGTTGTCGTCCGCAACTTTGTCCACGTGGAATAAAAAAAATGTTATCAAGTAACAACCATTACCTCCCCATTCTACCAACCTTTCCATCGCTATATTCCAGCCATCTAAACCTTTTAACTTTTTGTTTTAGTTAGTGCGATCACACAATCTGTTTTATAAGCCTATTTTGATTTTCTTAGACCTCCATTAATACCATTCATAGTAAATTAATCGAATTAATTGGGATCGATAAGGGAATCGCTTCTTAATCTGAGTGATCAAAAATGTCAAGATTCGAATTTACATTAATTAGATAAGGGGTAAAATAAATTGAAAGGATCTTTCTTGCTAAGTAATCGTTAATTTGCACAATATTTTTTAGCGCCTAGGGTTTTTATGGCCGCAATATTTACACATCGTTTTTTTGCCATGCGAAATACTCTGTTAAAACCTATATACATATATCATAGTTCTAGATTCCATATTGAATATGTTGCGGCCTGCGGTAATACTTGATACAAGTTTCTTCGTCATAACATTATAACATATATTTTAACGTTTTATGTTTTACTACTTTGTGGACTGGAACCTATTTGTAAATAAAAAACTTTATTAATAGAAAAAGATAATTCTCTATTTTATATTAATAAAGTTAATATAATTAATAAAACACTCAAATGCTTTGTTTTCATTTACATTGGTAAATGACAGGGGTTTCCCGAACATCCCATTTAAAAATGTTTGGTTCGAAGGGGATATTGCTTATAGTTGGACCGACTTTAACATACAAGTTAGCACTCCATTTGTATTGTGTCATCACGAGTAGTCAATCAGTTGGGTTTTAGCTACAACTAGTTTTTTAAAAAAAAAACACTAAGCATAACATTAAAATGACGGCGTCGTAGTTCAAGTGAGTTATAAAGTAACATCTTATTATTTAATTCTAATTATTCAGTGTGTATCAGCACTTATTGAGCTAGCGGGCATCTATCATTCGGCCGCGACTTCATTTAGCTTAGGTGGAATCATGGTCAAGCGCTGGTTAATTTATGTTGAAAAAAAATTCTCAGGTCAATTTAGTTTATTACGCAATCATTTGTATGCGCGTGTTATTTAGTTGCCGAACGTCTATTCGGCAGCAAGTTGCAATACGAACACTTGATAATAAAACTAACAGTAATGCATGACAATTGAATATCTTATCCGATTACGTTTCTAAGCGTTATTGTCCATTTGAATATGCCAGTGTTGAACTAATTTCACTATTGTGTGCTAAAATAAGTGATTTAAAAAGTGTTGGTTGAATCAAAAATGTCACCAAATAACCAGTCTTGTCGCGTATGGTCAAGATTTGAAGGACATAGAAAAAACGGTAGTGTTTTAAAATTACGGATTCAAGAACCGCCAAGTACAGCGCAAGAACGAGTGCTAGATTTTGTAGCAAAATATTTTGTTACAGAAGAAACGTTTCAAAAAGCAGCAGGTTAGTATGTGTTCATCAAAACATCATTAAAACTTGACAAATTATACTTGAAACTATTGTTACATGAAAAAAAATATTTGGATGTATCTGTATAGCAAAAATTATGTCTTTAATAATTAATTTCACTTTTTAAAGCTCGTAGTGTTTTTTTCCATTTCAAAACAATCAAAAGCCGTTATAGCGCGTCGTAGCTACCAACACCATCTGTTTATTCGGTCTTACATTTTTCATCTGTTTATTTTTGTTATTTGTATAGAATAGTTGATTAAATAAAAACTTTTTATTACCAGGTATATATTCTAATCCCGATGCTATAGTCGAATATCGAGAAATTTTACATGAAGTATTAAAAAGTTGGGTCGTCGTAATTTGTTGTGAAGATACTGAAGAAGTGGGTGAAATTCTTGGTGTATCTGCGATAGAGATGGTTGAAGATAAATCATTCGGAGAAATACCAGTAAGTCTCAAGAGACTGTGCTAAAGTACACTATACTATACTGCTATTGCTACTGTGGTTTTAATAAATAGATTTTGATAAGTAACTATTACAAATATAAAGGTTAGAAGTTCCTTATCTTTAAGAGTCTTAGATCCTGTCCCACCACTGGCTGATAAAGGCTCAGATAGCTTAAAAATGACGTCACTGTCAGATAAGGTAACAAAACCCGATATTTCTATCACATATTTAACACGTTGGATTGTTATCAGATAGTTTACAATTTAGTGGGACAGGTCCTAAATAGTTTAAAAGTTTAATCGATGCTCATTGGACAGAATAACGACAAAATAATCTACTTTTTTTAATAACAAGATTTTACGTAAACTCCTGAACTCATTTTATGTTTTCATTTATATTGTTTAACATATATTGATTACAAAAATAATAAAAAATGTAGCCTACGTTACTCACTGATAACATAGCTTTCTAACGTTGAAAGAATTTTTAAAATCGCCCCAGTAGTTTTTGAGTTATTTCAATACATACAAGAATACCAATCTTTCCTCTTTATAATATTGGTATAGATTAAATATCTCCTTATAGATTCAGACTAAGGAACTACAGAATTTAATAAGAATAATGATAGAGTGCGAGAAATTAGTGAAGCCGTTGATGAAAGGATTTGCAGTCCATCACGATGGAAGGGGAATCACTGTACACCCTGACTATAGAGGTCTTGGTATCGCAAGTGAATTTGTAAAGATAAGGTGAGTGTAGAAGTTGCATTATAATGAAAGAGAAACAAATTTAAAAAAAATACCTGAAATGTATTCTACTGGCTTTCGCCCACGATTCCGTCCGCGTGGAATTTTTAAAAAGTAAATAGCCTAATTGTTCTTCCAGATTATCCTCAACATTTATGCCAAATTTCTTTGAGATCCGTTCAGCAGTTTAGGGTACAAACATCCATCCAATTATCCACCTTAACTTTCGCTTTTATATTAGTAAAATTAACAACTTTCATTTTATCTAATCTGTATTAGGTGTTGTTACTGATAATTGTTTTTCTACCTTTCTACCTTCAGAGGGCCAGTATATTCTACTCTATCTATACATATTTATAAGCATTGATATAAAAATTCATTCCTTCTTACGCACATCTTCACCTTCTTTCACACAGTTCATCCATACTAGATAATGTATATCTCAAAGTGAAATAATAAAGGATTTATTTATTTACTTATGTATTAAACATTTACTGCAGCCCAGTAGTTTCACGTATAAATAACAGATGGCGCCACCTGTATTTTATAATGCTATGTTGTATTTAAGTCCTCTCATGTACATTACGCAAATTAGAAGATCAGAAGATAAAAGTTATAAAAAGAATACTGTCTTCTCGAGTTAGTTCCTATGGCGCGATTCTGAGTATATTAGCTTGCTGTCTTGTGACTAATTTTACTCAGATCTTGCATAGTGGCGACGCTGGATTAGGTTGCTTGCGGTAGTGACGATATAATTCAGCAGGTAACCGCTTGCCGTACTGTGAGACTGTGACGGTTATCCGGTATTGTAACATTTTTTTTATCTGCGTGTGGTTCCCAACCTGGGGTCCGCACGCAAACCATTCTCATTGGTATGAAAAACCAATAAACGACTGTTTTTGCCACCTTGGTTGTTTTCTTTGGCTGATTCGGCGTACGACACCCCTGCTCATGTTACACTTATGTCTTCCTTTAAATTAATAACAATTACATGTCGTTGAAACTTCCTTTACACATTGTATAATTTTTAAATGGCTCAGATAATTAATAAAATTTTATTTTCCAGGAGACTTATGGTAAACGAACAAAATGTTTCAATGTCGTGTGCGTGGATGACGTCATATGGTTCTCAAAGAGCAGCAGAGAAAGACAACTGGGAGACGTTGTTTGAGATAGCGCCTGAAGAATTGGGACAAAAATGCGGAGTAGTCTTCAAAGATCCACCTCTGACGTTTAAATTAATGTTTGTAAGGAGTTCTAAGCAATAATGTTAGTAGTTAAAATGTATATTATGTTCAATAAAAGTTAATTCTCTTTTCTCATTAATTTTTCTAACCTTTAGACAACAACTCTAAATTTCACCTGTATGGAAACCCTTATTTCATGTCATCTATCTGTACTTCTATACTAATATAATAAAGCGTAAACACACACTACTTCGTGTAGGATTTCAGCAATCACAGCATATTTTTGAATAATCCGTTCTTTAATAAAAAACCCTACACTAAGAATAAGCTTTAGGCTACACATTTTCACGCTATTAAACTTAGGAGTTAAATAAATTGGAAAAAACCTTCATGTTGGAAAGGGACCATAAACTACAAACTGCTAACATTAAAGAAGCATAGTTATTATGGTAACGGTAATTTTGACATTTGCAATTGATAATTTACCAAATGCAAATAATTAAATAAAGTTTTTATAATACACGCGGATGAAGCCGCAGGCGAACAGCTTGTATTTTATAATAATTTAAACATATGTAATTCTATTTTTGATTAAGTAACAAAATCATTGATAATCTGACCTAAAAAGGATATACGATAAACTTATCTATTCATTATCGTTTCAAAATTTCTGAACGTAGTTATACATTATTGTTACAGAGAACAAGATAATTTTATTTGAGTATTTAAAACAATAAGTTGCAAATAGTGTTACTTTAAAAACATGTCTTTGAATAACCAGCCGTGTCGTGTTTGGAGTCGTTTCGAACGGAAGAAAAAAGATGGTAGCGTTTTAAAATTCCGTATTCAAGATCCACCAGTTTCAGCTCAAGACGGTGTTAAAGATTTTATAGTTAAATATTTTCTGACAGAAGAGACATTTCAAAAGGCAGCAGGTAAGAATGTACTAAACATCTGAATCTATTTTTAATTATTGTAATTAAGTTTGTGAATGAAACTAAATATGTTAAACTAGTTTATGTTAAGCTAGCTTGCGCCACGACTAGAATTAAAAATAAACAAAGTGAGTAGCCTAAGTGTTCTTCCAGACTATCTAACTACTAGCTAGCTAGCTTCAAACTCTAACAAATATCCATCCATCCATCTAAACTTTTGCATTTATAATAGTATGAAGTATGATCGTTACATGGCCAATGAAAAATTAAATTCATTACCGTAAATTTGGATGCACAAATTATTAGTTTAAAATAACATGATCTGTACCTATATGAGAGGGATTTCAGAATGAATTTGGTCAAGAAGTGAAACATTTAAAAGCCAGCGTCACATTACACTGGCAGATTGATGAATTGAAACAAATGATTTGCATTCATTATTTCAACAGGTATAAGTTCCAACCCAGAGGCAGTAGAAGAATATCAAGGAATTTTAGAAGAATTAATAAAATTATGGATAGTTGTAATTTGTTGTTATGATAATGATAGCGAAGAGGTTGGTGATATTCTCGGTGTTTCGATAGTAGATTTGTTTGAAGACGAAACATTTGATGGAGAAGTGGTAATATATAAATTCAATTATAAAATAATGGTTTCTTTATGTGGTCCCGAGTAACATGTTTCCCTTCCCTAAATTATTTGGTATGACTATTTGCATATTTTTTTTTACTTTAACTCCAATGTTAATGCATGTCATTTTTAAACAGTTACAGATAGAAGAAAACCGGAAATTATTTTATATAGTAGGAGTGTGCGAAAATTTAGTTCAACCATTAATGAAAGGCCTTAAAGGCTATCACAGTGGGAGGGGAATCACCGTTCATCCTGACTGTAGAGGTCTTGGTATCGCAACTGAATTTGTGAAGATAAGGTGAGTTGGATTTATGAAAAATTTTAAAATAGCAGTATCAATAGCAATAAATTTGATTTTAATATAAACCAGGATACCAACTATAAAGAAAGATGTCATACTTCGTACTAATATTATAAATGCGGAAATTTAGATGGATGTTTGTTAGAGTTCGTAGCCTGAACGGATTCCGATGAAGTTTGGTATAGATGTAGAGGATAGTGTGGAACACATAGGCTACTCACTTTTGTTTTTTAATTCCACACGGACGGAGTCGCGGGCGAAAGTTAGTTATACTTTATGCGTACTTGTATATTAAAGTGTCTTCAATACAGATACTATTTTCACCAATAGTGGAAAAGCAGCATTTTAAATTTAATTCCTCGTGCTTTTGTCAAGAGAAAATTAATTATTTTAAACGAAATGACTTGTTTTTAATGATTAAAATATGTTTATGACATTGTTAAATGCAGTTAATTCTGCCAAAGATTAGGAGAGGAAATCCCATAATATTTTTTACGTTTCAGACGACAAATGATAAACGAACAAAATGTTCCAATGTCGTGTGCGTGGATGACGTCATACGGTTCTCAAAGAGCAGCAGAGAAAGACAACTGGGAGACGTTGTTTGAGATAGCACCTGAAGAACTGGGACAAAAGTGCGGTGTAGTCTTCAAAGATTCACCTCGGACGTTTAAATTAATGTTTGTAAGGAATTCTAACAGTACTAAGCAGTGTTTGATTTGATTTGAAATAAAAATAAATAAGTATCTTTTTCGTTATTTATTAGTAGAGTTTGAATAAATTTTATTTTTAGGCAGTTACATTTTTACTGGCGGCCGTATAAGGGTTTATGTGTCGCAAGCCTTGATCACTAATAACAATATTTTCTCGAAGAATGCCAATACGCAATATGCATATGACACCAAATTGTACCAAACTTTTTATAAGTATACTTTATTACTATAAAATCTGTCCTGCAAAGATTTTTTTAAATATAATGTGATTTAGTGGAAAAATTTAATCATTAAAAAGTGTCTTTTTTCAAATTCCCTCGCTAAGTTCTAAAACGCACACTATTGGTCGAAGCAAGTGGCTTATTTAATATGGCGTCGCTGTGTTGACAATACACAGTTCATTTACGTTAGTTTATATAGAAATACACTCTTGAAGTATTTTACTGTAAACACGATATCAAAACCAACTTTAAAATAAAAAATTAATGAATAGAATTATTAATTACCACTTATTTGTACCAGGAATAATAAAAATGAATCGATTTTTGACTTTTTGACCTTGGGAAACTCTGTTGTGTTTTACGTCGAAGTGACATCTGAGCGTAAGTTATGAATGGAATAGACGATTGACGTCAATCGTCTCATGACAACTCCGGTCGCGTTTTAGTCGCTCGAAAATGGTCGTAATTTTATTTTATTATTTTTGGCTCAATAGTTGAATATCTTCGCGTCAATTTTTTTTGTGGTTAATTTATAACAAGTAGAATCGTTTAAAAAAAGAAAAAAATACATGCATATTCCCTATTACAATTTTGTTTACACAGTAGCAGCTAGGTAGCTTATACATATGTTCGTTCAATACAAAATTTTGATACAAAGCAAAGCATCCAAATGGATCGGCATACATACTTCAAATGCTTAATTTCACCAACACAAGAATGTGAGGTAGAATACAAAAATATTTAATTAATAAGGTCTACACTTTTGTTTTTTATTATGTGATTGCGTCTATACATATCTGTCTTGAAACATTCGACAAAACAATAGCGTATTCTTAAACGTTATACCGCCATCTACAATCTTAACAAGAAAACATTTTGTTGATAATGTACAGTGTTGCAGTTTTCAATATCACAGTTTCACTGTGCCAGTTCTTTACTTAACTAAATTATAGCATGACTGTTGTGCGATTGTTAGTTTCGCTGCTCAATAAACTATTTAGTTGCATTAAGAAAAATCGAGTAGTCTCCATTTAAGCTAGGAATCAAAGCGCGACTAAACAGTTGTGCGAATTTTTAGTTAAAGGTGTGTGTGCTCTTAGACTTTATATAATTATAGTACTTCAATAAAAAATTCTATGTAAATCCAGGATGTCAGATATCATGAAACGGGTGTTGACGTATTTTTACTTTACACTAATATTATACAAGTAGTTAAGTCTCAAATGAACGGTTTTGACTAGTAAAAAACATTATTTATAATATAGTACCAATAAGCATCCACAGTGGAAGATAAGATTTTATAGAAAATATAAAGATGCGATTCCTTCAGCAGAATTACATGAGAATTAACAAAAAACTTTTCAGAATAAAAGTATGAGGCTTTTTTTTATGTTTATCTGTACTCCATACTATTGTAATAAAACGCAAACACTTTATTATATAGGATTTTAACAGTCAAGACATATTTTTTTAATGAAAAGCCCTACTTATGACACGCTTTAAGCAATACATTCATGCTATTTAATTTAGAGGTAAACAAAATAAAAGCCGTCATACAAGTAAGAAATAGCGGCCAAGAATCAAGATTCTCATGGTAAAGGTTATTGTTAGCCAATTTCAAAAAAACTCGCTGCCGTTTAATAATTTGAATATTAACAATACAATAAAAAAATGGTGTAAAAACTCCTCGTGAACGACATCGCTAAAACAGCTAATAAAAGATAAGGATTTCCTCGTATTTGAATTAACAAATATTTCCGGTGTGTTTGTTATCCGATTGGCGTGACTAAAATCAGAGATAAATGATTGAAAACATACATATTAATAATTTAAAGAAATGTATGATTGTTTGTTTATCTCATATTTTATTCGACAGCGTATTGGGGATCCATTTCGATCGAATTGACATTTCATTTTGTGATTTTTTTTTATACAAAACGTTTATTAAAACTAAATAAAAAATAAAAGTGACGCCGTTAAAGATACTAAGTTTACCAATTTGCTTTCAGTGAGTAATACATGTTTGTAATCTAAAAGAGATACGTGACAATATAATATCTATTTCTTTCATGATATAAGCCTTTTGAAATTCCGATTATGGTCAATTGATTACGATACTCATTCTATATATAAGAAAACTTTCCAATGGTTATACATAAACAGACGAAGAAACTGTGAATTGCAAGGTCTAAATATGACGAATAATGAAACCTGCCGTGTGTGGTCACGTATAGAACGCCAAAGGAGAGATGGCAGTGTTATAAAATTACGATTCCAAGAGCCACCACCTTCTGTCATGGGAAATGTAATAGACTTTTTAGCAGAGTATTTCACAAAGGATGAAACTTTCAATAAGGCAGCAGGTTAGTCTTGAAAAAATGGCATTCTTTTATGAATATTTCTGATTAATATTATAAATGCGAAAGTTTGAATGGATGGATGTATGTATCACGTTACTCCAGAATGTTTTAATGGGTCTGGATCGAGTAGGGATAGTTTAATACCTGGAATAGCGCAAAAGGTATTTTAAATTCGTCGCGAAGTTCTGGATGAGGGCTAGTAATTTACATATGAACATTAGATTTAAAGTTAAATTCTTAACTTTATGGACTTTACTTTTCTAAGTAATATTATACTTAGCATATTTGATAACAGTTTAATTGATACTTGTTACAAATTACCAAACGTAAGTCAATCTGGGGAAATTCCTTAATTTCAATAGACAATAGATTCTATTAATTAACATGACTATAATATAGGTAACAATTTGAGCAACTCAAGGCGCAAATAATTGGGGTTATAGCTTTGAATACTATTTTAACAGGAGTATGCTCTAATCCTGAGGCTATGGCGGAATTTAGACTACTTTTAAAAGATATGACGCCTTCACCGATAGTCATTTGCTGCCATGATAATGATACTGAAGAGATTGAAGAAATCATTGGTGTCTCCGTAGCTGACGTTGTAAAAGATATTAAAGATCAATTAGATGATTTTAAGGTAAGTTGTAATCACATTTGCAATATTAATCCAGAAATTTATTCTTCTGTGAAATTGTTACGTCTAAAATATAAATCGGTTTGACTCAAGAATTATACCTCAAGAGTATGTCCTTATACAAAGAAAATGTTTGTGCTCTGTCAATAAAGAAATAAATAAACTAAAATATATTAATCATTTATAAATGTATCAGAAATTACAAAAAAAATTAAAACATTTTTGAGTTTAATCAGTTACAGACAAAGGAACTTGAAACTGCAGTGAATTTGCTGATTGAGTGCGAAAAATTAGCTGAAGATGTAACTAAAGAATTCAAAGCTCACTTGGCTGGAAGAGTAATGACTGTACACCCTAACTATAGAGGTCTTGGTATCGCAAGCGAATTTGTTAAGATAAGGTAATTTTAAGTAGCATATAGCAAAAAAAGTTTCTACCATCATTGTTACAATTAACACTTTTAAAACTTCAACATCAATCACTTATCATTCCATGCCAATGAGGATTAGATTATGAAGTCTTACTTCTATAATATAGCATACATCTTAATAACCTAATCACTTACTTAACTGCCTTTAATTCGTCCATACATCTCCATCTACTTCTACCGATATACCTATTTCTTAGCATTCTTCTTTCAAGCTCTCTTTTTCACTCGCCTTGCTCTAATTCTCAAATAATTCATAATAATTATGATCCATAATTTTTCAAATACTCATGCTATTCACATGCTTAGCTCTGTGTTATATATTTTTTTAATAATGTAATTAATAATGATTTACTACATTTAATGTAATCATTTAACTTAGTAACGGTTATCATAATATTTTCGTAATTATTTTGCAGACGATTATTAATGATTGATCAAAATTTACCATTGACTTGTTCCTGGATGACGGCGTATGGTAGTCAAAAAGCAGCTGAAAAAGACAACTGGGAGACTTTGTTCGAAGTAAAAACTGAAGAATTAGCAAAGAAATCTGGCGTTGTATTTGGAGATTCACCGCCTACAATAAAATTAATGACATTTAGAAATCCTAAATGATCGCTGTGTGTTGCGTAATTATTACTTAGCTTTTCGTTTATTATTTTCATTTTCATTAAAGACATTTAAAGAAATCCAACTTATTTTATTTCCCCTAAGTAACTACTGTATTTTTAATCTAAAATGGGTTCAAATCAAGCAGGAGTGGACTATTCTTAGATCTTGTCTCGAAAAATCTATGGACACTTTCAAATGAGCTTTTTCGTCTCCGCATTATTCTTTTTATTAATATTCATAAACTGAACCTCTTAAAGACATTGGAAAAACGAATAAATATACAATTAACACACAGTAAATACGGCAAAGTGTAAATACAAAAGTACAAAAAGTTCAAGTATGCAGAAACCCAACCAGGGTTAAGAACGTTAAAGTCGCAAAAAATTTGTATTTTACTATAGAATTCTATCCTAATCCCAATTAGAAATTTTTGTTTTAGATTTGCTGGTATAGATTTTTTTTATCAAATAAACCTTTCCAGACAAATGGACAGACTGATTCAGAGGGTCTAATATCCCCAAAGAACATAAGCTTGAATCAATACTTTCTATTCATCTGATAAGTGTGTTAGTTTGTCTGTCGTCTCCTCTGTTACAAGTATTATCGTCATCATTCGGGTATACTGAGACAAGATAGAGTTCATGATTCATGGATGTTATCTTTTTTCAGAAGTCTATTTTCTTTGAATAGATTGTTATGAAAACTGAAAAACTTTACGTGTTCAATAAATTTTATCACTTGATTAAGATAAAAATGTCTCACATTAAAAAAGGAAACGTGCTATCCAATCTTTTATTGATAAGTAAGATATTGTCATATGTACATGCAAAAAAATTATATGTCAGTCTGTCCGCAAAGATGCGTTTGTTCCTGATACTCCCCAAATGGGTGGGTAGATTTCGACTGGACTTAAACGGGAAAGTAGCTGTTAGACGCTGTAATAGAAAATATATGCTTTTTTTAAATTCCGCGCCGACGAAGTCGCGGACGATCGCTAGTTTGCATAAAGTTGTACGTGATAAACTTATCTCCTATAACATTTTAGGCTATTAAATTTCTGATTATAATCCATTGTTTGCGATTACGCATTATATATAAACACAAACATTTAACATTATACATAAGTGTTGAAATCATCTACGTAGAAATACGAGCGTAAATAAAAAATATGGCAGCGAGTAACCAGTCGTGTCGTGTATGGACGCGTTTTGAAAGGAAGAGGAAAGATGGAAGTCTTGTTAAGTTAAGAATTCAAGATACACCCGAATCCGTAGTAAAAAATGTGGTAGAATTTATGATAAAATATTTCCCCGCCCAAGAGACATTTCAAAAAGCTGCAGGTTAGTTAAATATCATTAATTACTTCAACAATTAGTTGAATAATTGTATAATTTATATGTACACTTCTTTTAGATGTTTTTTTAATCTTCACATCATCTACATCTGATAATTAAGGATTATCATCATCCGGCTCGAAGGACCAATAGCGATTGATGTTAACTCTAATGACTATAACGGTATTGTTTTTAAATCAGGTGTGTCTACTAGTCCTGAAGCGATGACGGAATATCGAGCTATGCTAGAAGAATTTATAGTACCATTTGGTCTTGTAATTTGCTGTCACGATGACACGGAAGAAGTTGGAGAAGTACTCGGCATGACTGCAGTGGATAAGTATCAAGAAGAACCTTTTGATTTGAATCAGGTATTTTAGAAATCCACAAACTACTATTATTTATAAAGTTTAGATGATTGTTAGAAGATTATTAAAATAGCTTAACCAATGTCGATGAAAATTGATTGACACAGATGTAGAATGTTCTGGACCAACACATAAAATATTCAGTAAGATTTTTTAATTCCTTGAGAAGTAAGTTGCAGATAAAAGCTAGTAAGAAATAAAATATGTAATTTTTCTACTGCGAATTATGACATGTAGAGCGAAACACCCTAAAAATAAATGGTTATCGACAACATATGTTTTTGAGCAACATATTCTTGACTATTAGGTCCTAATAGTTTATAATAATGATGATTTTCATTTGTAGTGGAGTTATAACTAGCGTTTTTTAATAGGTGAAGTCGGAGGAAATGCGAAAGTTTTTCAAAATGACGCAGGAATGTGAAAATTTAGTGAAGCCGATAACAAATGAATTCAATAACTACCATGCGGGCAAAGGACTACTTGTTCACCCTGATTACAGAGGACTTGGTATCGCAAGCGAATTGGTTAAGATAAGGTAAGATAGAAAATGACTAGTATATTTATCTGGTTTGTTTTAGACTTACTTCCATAGTTAGGAACTGAAGGATTATTATATAATATAATAGTTATAACGTTATGTTATAACTAACGTTAAACTAACGTTTTAGTTTCGTATCTGACTACTGAATTCTTATCCACTTACATTTTTCTACATTCACTACTTTTAATGTGACATTTTGGTCGTGACGACCAAAATTGTGAAGTATGGCTCCTGGATTAGAACTGAATAATATTGATTAAGGCGCTGTTTTCGCAAATTGCGAATCTTGGAAGCAAGAAGAAGCTAATGGAAGCATAGAACAGGATTTCTACAAAGATTTGATTCGTGATATTTTAATTATGTGTAACTTCAGTCCTATGTATTATTAATGCAATATTTTTTTTTACTTTCAGACGATTAATGATGATCGAACAAAATGTATCTTTGTCATGTACGTGGATGTCGGCGTATGGTTCTCAAAAGGCAGCGGAGAAGGACAACTGGGAGATTGTGTACGAGGTGAATTCTGAAGAACTTGGGAAAAAATATGATGTTGTTTTCGAAGATGCGCCACCGACGTTTAAATTTTATGTTACAAGAAATCCTAATTATAAGAAAGAATAACGCTATTAGCGTATTGATTATTGTCTAATTTTAAGTTTAATAAATGTATGTTTTAAAACGAATAATGAAATTTTATTTAATCACTTACACGCACAAAACATTTAAGTTACTTTTAAGAAAATCTGAAATAAATACTACTTTTATATTCATCATCATATTTAAAACTAGCTGTTGCTCACGATTTTGTCCGCATGAAATTAAAAAAATGCCTATGTTACTCACAGATAAATTACCTTTCTAATGGTGAAAAAATTTTTGAAATCGGCCCGGTAGTTTTTACGTGAATCGAATACATACAGAAATACAAATATTTCATCTTTATAATATTAGTAAAGATTTCTAATTATTACATTTAAAATTTGCAAAAGACGGTCATCATTTCTATTTATGCTAGAGTTTTTGTTTGATGTTGTCTTAATCTAATACTTAAAGTTACATTGTTTTATTTAGTGTAAAAAAAAAGATATCTTTGTATATCAAATTAATGTCGATAACGTTTGGTTCTTAAGTTTTATAGTCATGATAAATCAAAAGTCCTGTTTATCATGGTTACATGAAAACTTACAGCCTTACAAATATTGTACTTATCTTTGCTTATACTCAGTTTATTCCTATGTTTAACTTTATACCGCATTTGTTTGTAAGCCTGTTAATGTTTGTTATCTTTTGGAACGTATGACTATAAGATCGGTGAATATTTGGAGAGGATATTGCAACATCCGGGCATTATTATAAATGAAGAAATTTCTAAAGTAAATAATATATTGAGTTGATGAACACCATAACGAATAGACTGATTTGATATACACCAACTCCACAGAGTAAAAAAGTAACATTTTCAAATTAAATGTAAAATCATAATATAAGAAAATTATAAACCAGCCTGATTAATTGGAATACAGTATTTTAAAAAGAACGTTGAAAACAATGCAAAGAATCTTTTAGAATAATAAGAAATGTAAACATTTTCTTAAAACATTTTGTTTTTTGTTCCTTTATCAATGTAGCGTTTTGTATTGTCTTCAAAGTTACGAAGGGAAGCGTACTTGTTGAATACGTGACTGATGGCAAAAAGAAAGTCTTTGTTATAATATTCTTTTTCATAAACCATTCCTCTATCTAGAAGTGTGTTACACTTATTATAGAGTAATCAATCTTTTAGTTTTGTTAATAATAATATTTATACCATTATAATAAAGCGTAAACACACACTTCTTTGTTGCCTAAGATGTCAGCAATTACATCATTTTTTGAATAATTCTCTTTTTAATTAAAAGCCCTACGCTTACGTCACGCTTTAGGCTGTATATATTCACGCCATTCACCTTAGGGGGTAAATATTTTGGATAAAAACTCTAATGTGGGAAAGAGACCATAAGTTGCTGCCAACATCAAGGAAGCAAGATTGCCAAGGTTTTTCGTGTCATGTCATTTGCAATTGGTAATTTGGCAAATGTAAACAATAAAATAAAATTTTCCTAATTTCATGCGGATGAAGCCGCACGGGAACAGCTAGTAACCATATAAAAGAATGCTAATGTATGAAAGAATTGCTGCGAATTTGAGTAACTTAACAGTTTTAGCTAACTTCTCTCCTAAAAGGCACGAAGAACTCAAATCGGGTGAGACGTTTTCATTTAAAATGGGAAAGGTAAGTTAATAAAGAGTGAATCTTCTTAATTTTCTCCCATATTGTACTCTGAGTATTTATAATGGTGTATAGTTTAAGTTGAAGGTTGCATATTATACGTTCATAAAGAATGGGTTTAGTTAACAGACAATCTCGAGACTTAACTTTCTTTCGAAGGTTTTAAAGCACCAGAGATGCCAGTGTCTATATTAGACAATCATTTAACATTATTTTTTTTTGCATTGCAAATTTCTTTCCACGCTTAGTTGGATACCAACATTAATTATTAATGACGCAGACATCTGCGTCACACGATGTTATGTTAATCACAAGAACATTTGTTAATTATCTTATCGTTTTTAAATGAATCATTTTATTGTTATGGTTTCTTGTATTCAACATCTTTATGATGTATTTTATGAAGTCTTTGTTGTACTCTACTGCTCAGTTTAAAAAAAACTTAACTAAATTATCTAACCAACACTTGTCAATTTAATTCCCATATTAGGAAAAAAACTTTTCTAACTTGCTAATTTTATCTATGTTAATTAAGGAGGTCAGTCGTCAAAAACATCGTGCTTATTCTAAAATAGTAGTCTGAAAGGAAACTTCATTCCATTAAGAGTTTGAAAGGAAGTAATTACATTCTATACAAACATCTTGAGCTGAAGGATCTGGCGTCGTTTGGCACCGCTCTTAATTAGTTTAACGGAGTGGGAATAGCTAAGCGCTCACACAAACACGGTCTTAAACCAATCAAGTTGTTGACATGGGAATTTTCATTAAATTTAAACAAAAGAAGGCAAATTTAAATGATTAAAATTCACTTTTAAGTAATTCTAACAATTTCAGTATCCAATGCAATATAATTTTTTAATTTACTATTTAAAAAACAAAGCTGTTTGTTAAGAGACAACATTTAACATTTTTAACGGTGGTAGTGCCCGCTTTAACATCTTAGCACGAATGGGCCGGCACGCCCGGTGTAATACCACGACCACACAGAAGACAGGCGTGAAATGG